TTCAATATAACATGGATTTGTATTTGTAGCTTAAAAAATCCTTAAAATTACATTAAAATTGAGAATTTTTATAATACTCAAAATGTACATTCTACACAGATACCGACATTTGTTCATATCAAAGTGTTTTGTTTAATTACAGAATTTAACCGCACATCATAAAACAATCTAAATTATGTTTACTTCAGATATTACTATACAAATCCTTGACTTTACATAGTTTTGTCCATACGTGCAGCTTTTCACATGTGTAGCTGAAATACAATAAATTCACACATATATCACATTGGTACCCTGCTGTGACTAAGTTGTATTCGCGATACACGTGCGTTAATATTACCTGATGGGGTTGAGTAAGTGCCCCCATCTTCGGTAGCCTGTGAAGAGGAGGGGACTGGATCGTAACTCTTGCCTAGCGAAGATGAAAAATAAATAAAGAAAGAAATAAAGAAAAGAGTGAAAGAAAGAAATGAAGAAATAAAATACAATAAAGAAATAAAGTAAATTTTTGAATGAATGAATGAATGAATGAATGAATGAATGAATGAATGAATGAATGAATGAATGAATGAATGAATGAATGAATGAACGAATGAATGAATGAACGAATGAATGAAAGAATGAATGAATGAATGAATGAATGAATGAATGAATGACGAAAATAAATAAATAACTAAACAAATAACAATTTATTTCAACAATATAAAAAAACTTCCGAACTGTACATGTGTTTGTAAAATATTGTATCGAAGGGCATAACTTTGGACATAACTATGAACAAAAAGAAATAATGTATTTCAGAAAGACGAGATATATAAATATCCTGCTTACTCCGGAATTAGTAATGTAATTGTCAATCTTCTTTCATGCGTTATGGATCATTGGGTTTATTACCTGTTGACCCGAGTGTTGACCCGGTTGATTACTAGCACGTGTCATTGCTCTCAATCTTTAAAACAGAACATACTGTATCAAATTATACGCCAAGGATTTATATAGTAAGTAGGATTGGAATCTCGTGGGTTATCGTTTTATTTTACTATAGAGATCAATGATTAATTAATATTATGGGTACTGAATAATACATAGGAATATATTGTTTTAATGAAAAGCTCTATCCGGTGGTATTCTATTTATAATTTTAATACTGTCTCATCACTGGCTAAGTACAGTTTAGAAGCTCAATGCACTTAAGCGGCCTTGGTAGCGTTTAGATGCACAACAGTGTGATGTAAAGCATTGTTAAGAAATATATTGCACAATACAAGCTAAGAAAATAGAAACTTCTCCAAGTTTTACCAAGTAACCCGCACGAAATTTACTATTATAAAATGCTCTAAAGTAAATTTCCAGTTTTTATACGAGGAAAGTATCAACAGATACAGAATTGTAGCACCTGACATAAAACATACTAAATATGTGCTAATTAAATTGCTAAAGTTCACAGTTGAAATATGACGGATAGTTCTCTCATTGGCAATCATACCACATCTCCTTACATTTATCTTGTTAAATTTAAATTTCCAGTGCAAGTACTTTTTTTCAAAGACAAAAATCAATATCCGTACACATTTTATTTGGGATAACGACTACATTTTTTACCTGTCGGGTTAACAACATGTTAGTAATAAGTGTATAATATACATGTTTTGTAAGTAACGATGTAACGATTGCATAAAATAAAAAAAAACAAAACAAAAAAAAAAACAATTTCCTAAATGCACGCAATTTCCGTCTATTTCAAATCTGTTTTAATACGGTAATTTCTGAGGGTAACTTTTATTATCCTTAGTAAATATCGTAAATATACATGTATAAAATGTATATCTTTAAATACAGGTTGCAGCAAATAATGGTAACCTTTTTTTTGCCGATATACAATTAATAAATAATTAAAATAAACTAACATTAATTTGAAAAATAAAACCAACGACATTTATAGACGAATAATTTTTTAAGTCCTCAACAAAACAACAACAGAAATAAATAATCAACAGATGATTTCTTTATTTATTTATTCGAAAGTTACGCTTTTAATTCTAGCAAATATTTCTCAATTTAAAATGTACCATCAATCAGAAGGGGCGTAACTCTGAGTATCATACTAGCATACTGAACGGATCTGAACACGGTATGACAAATTTGAGAGGAATTTTTTAGGTTTGGTCTGATTTTGTCTGAAACCGTCTTAACAGACTTAAACGAACGCAAGCACAATCTGTCTTGTTTATCTTGACATAACTGAACGGATTTAAAACGGTATATCGTGACGGCGTCTGAAAGTCTAAAAAAGTCTTGACGTATTTCTCTAGCGGTAAATCCAGTCGATTAAGACTTGATCAGAACAAAATGACCGTTTCAGACTGAAATTTTGCTACTAGTGAATGCGCGAGATTTTTATCATCCTTTTTTATATGTTGAGAATGACATGTTTATGATATTCCAAAATCTCCTCTTTCGTTAAATATTTAAAATGTTGGATTCCCAAACTTGCAGTGAATTACAAGTTATTTTGTTAAAGATTCCAAATAATCATTTTTGCATATGTGTTAAGAACTCATGTGCTCACGGGAGCTCACTGTTTTTGCATGTGCTTATGAAAGCATGAATGAACAGCCTTGATCAAACTCCACCAATGCATGGGTAAAACTCGGACGCTCCAAAACGGTCAGATGTTCCTGCTATACTAGTAACACCTGTGCTGTTACTCTTTTTCGAATGCGTTGATGGGCCATGTCCGGTAAGTTGGATTCAAACATATACTAGTAGTTCATTTGGAAATGTCATTTTTCAGACCTATAAACACATCACCACTAGAGTAAAAATCTAGTAAATATGAAATGAAACGTTGACAGTCGCATTCGGTCATAATGTCACATCACAAAAACGGACGGTATTGTGGTTATGATAAGTGGGTCATATCCGATGTCATTTTTGACACATACATTCCATTACTGTCGATCAAATCATAATGACGTCAATAAAAGAGCGTTCGGAGGGATGACTTCGAATATTCAATCAGGAACTTTTGTTTCTATAGCTTCATTTCAACATCAACGTTGACTTCTTTGACCAAATAAATTTGGCCAAGTTATTCTGTATTGGCTAGTTGACATTTGTTTATTGCGCCGGCAGTTGTTTTTAACATATAAAGTCCAATAACTGAGTAGCTCATTAATGATTTAGAACTATTGTTAGCTGCAGATGTCCCTATGACAAGGGTTACTTTACATTAACCTAATTTGATGGTTTATTGATCATCATGATTTTTTCTTGATACATGTAGTATCTCAATAATCAGTTGGTGGCCTTCGTTTTGCGTAATTATCTGTTTAGTTTTTGTGGACTCTTGTTTATCCTTTCGTCGGTTTTCCTTTTTTCTGTTATCTTTCACTAACTGGTTTTGATTTCCTCTTGGTACCTGCTCTCCTTTTCAAAATTAACTAGATCAGCTATGAATACATTCGAAAGTGCACATTCTTGATTTGCCTTTTTATATGCTTTTCAAATGGATAATCAAACTCATAATTCCATGGCAAAAAAAACGATGAAATGACAAACAACAGCAATAAAAGCTCTGTTCCTTTGCTTTTTGTGTGTTGTTTGCTGTGCATGTACTGATTTGGTGTCGTGGATGTATACCCATATCCTTTGTCTTTTCTATTAAATTAACGGAGTTTGTCACTCGTGTTGTGTGGAGGCCGTAGAAAGTGTCCTCTTGCTTGTGGTGTATTTATTCTTGAGATAACTTCTTATGTGTGCAACATCATTCTGTCAATTGTAGGCCAGCTTGTGTACAAACATTTTAATAAGAGGCACACCACATAAGGGAGGGTATTGTAGTTACGACATAAGGAACATATCCGATATCATCTGTGAAACGGTTATTCCATAACGGTCAACCAACTCGTGATGGCGTCCGTAAAATTTACGAAGGGATGACTTCAACTTCACCATTTGGAATTCTTGGTTAAATAGCTTCCTTGTGAGCAGCAATCCTCTATCAATGAAATCATGATAGGAAACACAAGCCCGGGAATATCGTATCAATTGGGAGATATATACTCCGTAATATGCCCTCATTTTAAAGATCTATTCATTCTTTTTTGTTTTATTCAAAATTATCAGTCAAAAGGTGTTCTTCAAGGATCACCAGTCTTTCACGTTTCATTTGATACCTAAATTACCAAAATAAAGCGCTGTTTCTTAACTTTTTGTATGTTTTTGCTGTGCTTATACTGATTTTGTGTCATAGATGAGCACCCCATATCCTTTGTTTTTCTATAACAGTATACAAATCACAACACAGAAAACTAAAGACTGAGCAACACCAACCAAAAAAAAACAAGGGGTGATCTCAGATAATTCGAAAAGGTACGTTTTACAGTTTGCTAATTATAATCCATTAAATTTACAAATAATAAAATAAAATGGTATATTGTTCGTAATTATAGCATCTTACAAACTTCTACTGGATGTAGTGTAACCATGGTAATCAGAAATCTATATTTTACTTTTATAAAGCTATTTGCAGAAACAGAACCATTTCAATGTATTGGTTTTATCATCAACATAACTTTGATAATAATTTTAAGTGTTCTCAGTACGTGCGAAAGTTTCAAGGACGCTCTTAAACAAATTTCTGTGGAGGTGGACAAAAAGGAGACGGGGATCACATTCATACAATCAGACATTAATGGTTTGAAAGACGATATGCATGAGCTTCTTAAAAGGGTATTTAGTAACGAAAACGAAATTTTATTACTTAAAAGAGAAAATCAGTATCTAAAAAATGAACTTGAAAACAAAAGGCGGCAATTTTCATGCGAAATCAACGTGTTACACGAAAACACTAACAAGCATCAACGAGCATTGAATGTTACTAACACGGATATTGATCACCTTTGGTCTTCATTTAATGAAACAATAGAAAAACTGAGGAATGGTGTCGACAAGTTAGAAGAGTTTGAAAGGCGAAGGTCTGAGGATAACGTTACAGAATATATTGACAAATCAGGTATGTTCGTCATGCATGTTATAAATTTGTAGGCTAGCATGATGAAATGATGTGCTTTAAATAATCATTTATAAGAGTAAAAACTAGACAGATACACTTTGAACTATTTACATATATTAAAACTACCAGCGTAGATCTAGAATCCTATAGACACTGCCATTTCAACCTAACAGCGTTATTCATTAAATTGGTCTGATTTTAAGAAATGTTTTTGTCATCTTTTCATTCTTATAAAACAAAATAATAAGTTTTTTCCGCATATACTTATAACTGATTTTCTTTACAAAACGCAATACAAACCTGAATTAGTACGCCTTTCTCTCAGTGCTGCGTCTTTTGTGAGAATTTGAAAAAAAAGCTTCGATCCTTATCTCTGCTCGACACGAAGCAGACATTGAACAAGTGTTAAAAGCTATTACGAAAAATAATGGTATCCATTACATGAAGTAACAAAAAATCAGTATGCAGCAGGGACGTTTTGCCTCACTGAGTAAATCCTCACGTTGGCCTTTGCATAGGAGGTAAAGATTTGAATTTTTGAAATGCACTTCATCAGAAATACCATGATGTAGTATCCTCTGCAATCTATGTATTTATTGCAAAGTTTGTTTTTGAGATGTACTTGAGATTGCACATAAAAACAAAAGATTCTGAGCATTTTTTTCAATTTCTAAAATGTATAATTTACATATTTTCGGAAGGAACTACACAAAATAGAATTTAATTTGCATTGGAATAATTTATATCTTTTATTTTGATTTTGATCTGAACTTTTTGGGGGGTTTCCCTATACAAATCAAGGACTTCGTCATTGTTTATCTGGTCGTACTAACTTTGTATTTTCAACAACACATTAGAATTATTTAAAGTATTCTGGGTTTTTTCTAACCTGATTTAGTTTTTGTTTTCTCTCAAAACATGTTTTGGTCTCTAGTATTGTTTTATCTACGAAAACACCGGTTCCCCAACTCCTCCTAAACCCACTTTTAGAATGTATTGAAACTTTCACATACCTTAATCATATAATGGCACTTTTATATCTTTATATCGTATAGTTCATGTTTTTTTATCGAAATTCAGAACTTGGCATAGGTGGGTGTATTCTTTTGTGAACTAAAAACCTCTAGTTTATATTAAAATTTAATATGATATTTCAGGGACATATGTTTTAATGTCTCTTGAAATATATGGGGTTCTTTCAACCAAGGACACACATTTTGCCCTAGTATGAAATACATGAAATATTTATGCATTTAAAATTCAAATAGAGAAATTATTTTTCGAAATGGCAATTTTTAGTATTGAATTTTTTGGATCCGTATTTCAAATTTTTGTAAGCTTGTTGGAATATTTTTGCAAAGCAATTCTAAGCACTTATCTATAAGCATTTAAAATACATATGTGCTTGTCCAAAAATTTGACCTTCGTCGGTGGTATAGTACTGATCAGCAAGAAAAATTAAAATAGCATGCATGGGAAATAATTGAACATATAGTAGTTAATCAGCAAAAATGATTTGAGTGATAGAAAATCCAACATTGTTTAGTTAGCAATATACAGTTAGGAAAAAAATTTTTACCCTGATATATTTTATCATCCCCTTTTCCTTGCTTTCTTACAAATTAAGCCTACTGTTTGTGTCATATATGTGCATATGTATGTAATCAGTACCTTCCAAAGATTTGATTTCCAGTAGTTAAAATGGTTAAATAAAATTTCTTTTAGGTGTATCCATGTCAACAATCTGTTTTTAATTGCTATAAATTATTGCAAAAAGGGGCGTAAAGATGTCACATATTTCCACAGAAATTGGCCAAAAGTAGAATTTCAATCCCTTGGAGTGATACCTTTTCTCAAACTGTTTACATTATCTATCAACAGATCAAACAAAAGTCATATGTCATTCGTCTCTTTTTTTTTTTGTAAAATTGCGTCTAGAAGTTCGTGTGAAAAAAGTGTTTGTAAACATTACAATAATTTATGGACCTATGGCCGGTCTGGCTATAAAAATATGGACAGTCAAACAGAAAACAACCCATAAAACATGTCAAAATAATCTTGATATTCTTATCAACCCACTTTGACGGCTAAATTAGTCATCAGCTGTCGAAAAATGAATTTGATCGCACAATAACTTTCATATTTGAAAAATCCTAAATGGCCAAAATGAGAAACTACACTCCTAACTGTGTGTTGCTACCTTACTTTACTGTTCCGACACTGGGCCACAATGGTACCCACTTTCCAGTGTTGATGATATCTCATCAAAGATTCCGGGCTTATGATTTGTGATACCCAGTGTTCACGTTGCACGTAAGAATTAACGCACAAAAAATACAGATTCTTTATCTTATTCTATAATTCAATTCAGGTATTAAGGCTGTAAACTTTATTTTTGAGTTGTCTGAATTTCTGGAATAACATATGTATATTAGATTTTGAAAGTAGTTGCGAATATAATGGTGAAAATAAGGTATTTGTAAAATTGATATACCTTTTTACAACAATATTCAAATGAAAAAGGACCCAGAGAGACAAATAACTCGAAAAAGAAAAACACTTTGCAGAAAACGAAAATTTAGTAACATATACCCCTCAAAACAGGGCCTGAACGGGATTAATCGACAGTTTATACTTCGCAAGTGACGCCAGTGTTTTTGCCAATTTTGTTTTAAATTCGTCAACGTTATACACAGTTAACCGTTTTCCCTAGGTATATATCTAGGGATAATACGTTTCAAAATTACTTCGTTTTGTAAAAAGACATTTGTCTTATATCTTTTCATCACTGCCCGTGCATGTTTTGATGTGGTTAATGAAGGTCATTTTACAGTTCAAATTTCACTATTTTCACTATGGTTTAAGGATGCTTTACGCATTGTTAATGCAACTGTAACTACGTCACCAGTCTCTACAAAATGTAGGTTAACCTGAGGGTAGTAAACATTAATTTACGTTAATCATATAGAAATGAACACCACTAGTTCCAGCTCTAAAACTTCAATCGCAAATTACAGTTAAGACAGTTCGCAACAACTATTTATGTTTTGACATTATGTCTTCACTATCATGTTTTAGACACTTCATGCAGCAGTTCACCTTGTTTGAATGGTGGAATATGCACAACGACCGGAAGCAGTTATAATTGTTCCTGTCTGCCTGAATATATTGGATACATGTGTCAAGGTTTTTAACGTTTGAAATATTCTACCATTGAACATATATTCATTAAGAAATTTCATATTGATTAAAAATTATCTGAGATTTAAGAAGAAAAAAAACGTCCGATTACAGAAAATTTAGTCAAATAATACAATGTTGCAAATTATTCATAGCAAAAGGTCATACTTTATATTATATGAAGAACAAGGTAAAAGTGATAAGTGACAAATACGCATGTTAAAAAATGCCTCGTGCATTTCATAAATTGATAAAAAATTAATCATTACATAAATGTCATACCCTATCTGCGAATTATAAAGACAGATATAAGCGTCTGCTAAAGAGTACCACTGAAAAGTTATGTGCTTGTTAAATTTCGAGAATATCAGGTGTTTTGTTGTTCTTAAGTTAAACCTCAAAATGACAACAAATACTATGTAGCTAATAAATACCATAATCGAGAAAGACAATTAACTCATGAACAGGGACAAAAAGTAAGAACGAACAGAAAACATAGACCTACAGAACACAAAAAAAGTAATATTGAGTAACACAAACCACATTGTGTTGCTCTGGAAGTTTCCTGCTTCATCTTGATTTAAAAAAAATCCTGTAACGTTAAAATACTGTTATTCCTGTTGATAAGTTTTTATGAAGGTCTCCAAAAAAATCATTACATTTTTGTCCGATCTTGTGAACACAAATATGCTTTATGCACGTGTAACATTTTTTTATTGTTAATAAAGTGTATTTTACAGTACAAATGTCATGTAAAGATGGTTGGAAAAGGGATGCAAACAACTGTTACTACTTCAGTACTACCTCTGCAACTTGGTTTGATGCCAAGGTAGTAAACATTCATTTACATTGATTATTTACAAGCAACAATTTTTAATCCATAATTTTCACATTTTCATGGGAAACAATTCCTGAAGGTTTAGTGCACATCTGCATTCATAACTTCTTCTTTAAGCGATAATGCTACTTAAGGTTGTTGGCTGCCATGGGTTTTTTTGGTAAGAAATATTGAATGGACAATGCCAATGAATAAGCTATAAGATATCCACTTCTGGAAAATAAACATCTCGTTGTCATCATAGATGTTCAGCGATAAGCAAACAGACAAACATTCAAACAAATTCTTTATTGCCAATTTAGACGCCCCTAGCGACAATGTTTTACAAAGGCATCACACAAAAGTGTAAACAAATATAAAATGAAAATGAAACAAAATATTCTTTTATTTTTCGCTTTATTAATGGATATCAATTTTAGTTTTAATTGCAATAAACGTGATCTATGTATAACTGGTAACTTATTAGTCTTTGATTTCGTTACCACAAATTACCTAAAATGTGTACTAAATTCTTTCATAGATACACAGATTTCATTGTGAAGTTTGTAGGTTTCTTTTAACTAAATGGGTTATCACATCCAATATTTTATGGTAATGTTGTTTATTACGCCCATAAATTTAAATACGATCCATGTAAACGTATTGATCCTTCAAAACACATGTTCTTAAAGGATATCAATTTGACATCGTAGTAAACTCATTAAAGATTGTTTTTATCGCTACTAACATTAATTTTATTTTTGAAAAATTAGAAATCATCTATGAAATGTTATGGTCATTTATCCAATCGATATTATGTATTCGAAATTTTGACATTTCACAAGTTCATTCTTTCTCAGACTGTTTTTGACGGTTTTACGCTTAATCTGTTGGATTTAAAAGAACTTGATTTTTTGTACTTTGAACTAGCGTTTAGTAACTGCAACAACTGTTTCACCAGTGTCCCTGGTTAGATCGGGGGTTGTGTGCTCACAAACATGTTTAACCCCGCCACATTATGTATGTGACTGTCCAAAGTAAGGAAACTGAATTTTAGTGGTTGACGTTGGCTGCTGTCGGTTATATCGGTTTTTCGTGTATTGTTTTGCCGTTGGTTTGTTCCTTGAATTGTTTGAAATTGTGTCAAATCGGGCCTTTTTATAGCTGAATATACGACATGGGTTTTGCTCATTGTTGAAGGCCGTGTGGTGACTTATCATTGTTTAAATCCACCTCTCTGTTGGACAGTTGCCTCATTTGGCAGTCGTACCACAACTCCTTATTTATTATATTTAACTCCGAAAAGACACAAGTGAAATCGGTCTACAAAGTAAAATAACAAAAATACCGAGCTCCAAGTAAAATTCAAAACGGAATATCCCTTATCAAATGGCAAAAGCTCAAACACATCAAACGAATGGAAAACAACTGTTCTATTCCTGACTTGGTACAGGCATTTCCTCATGTAGAAAATGGTGGATTAAACCTGGTTTTATAGCTAGGAAGGGTGTTTTAGTGTCTAAAATGGATGTTTTATAGTGATTCTAAACAATATTCCCACATTTAAAAAAAGACGTAAAGACATATATATTAGAGAGGGCTCGGTGTCTTAAAGCAAGCTCAAAGTACATAACTTTTATAATGAAATGCCATCCAAGACTGTAATAATGGTAACGTTATTCCCAAAACACATAGATCTTTCATTAAAAATGTCGAAGAAGATTTGATTAGCTTTGTTTCAAATTAGGTACATAACCAATCAATCTTAGAATAATACAATGCCCATTGTAAATAAAAATGATACCTTATAAATTCCGTGCTTTTTAATTGATCGTCTTGAATAACCTTCATCAAGAACGATAAAACCTAAATATTGAAAGCCGAGGATGAATAAGTACGTGAGTACGTGAGAAGCTGTATGACCTGAAAGTTAAAGGAAATTTGTGTACAGCATACAAAAATGTAAAGTTTGTATTAGCCATCGGCGATTCTAAAATCATATTTGCTGTTCTGGCCCGTTTTTTGGAAAGATGATCCCTCGTGTAATGATAGCATAAATGAAAGCAAACGTTTAGCAAATACAACAACGATGCTTGAGATGATTAAAAGCTTAGTCGATTCTTTCTAAAGGGTTGATTCCATTAAAAGATAAACACCTAAATTAAAAGAAATGTCTTTGTAAATATGCATTTTTTCCCTCGATTCATCATGGCCTGTTACTAGTTTGCGATTGCAAAAAAGAGTCTAAAACACAGGGAGTGGCATCAAAACAGAGTCAAACTCGTTTTGTGAAAACTATCAATAAAGAAAAATAAACAAGAAATATTATTTAAAAAGATTTTCGACTCATTTTGATTGGATTATATTTTTAAAACTTTCAATTATATGATCTTTTGTTGAAATCAAATTGCTCCAAAATAAAACATTATGCAGTAACATACAATATGTGACACATAACAACTTGAAATAAATCGGTTTAATCCGGCAGTAAAAACAATGTTTACATTTTTATATTGGTAATGCCACAGTGAAATATCTACATGAATTTTATAAATGCTACTTGAAAATATACTTATTCATCTATGTAATTGCTAAATTGCATACAAAATACTTATGGATATTTATTGAATAATCTTTTTTTAATTCTAATTAGAAGTCTTGAAATGAGCTGTGTTTTAAATTTAGATATTGACTTATAGTTTTATAAAACAGAAATATAACACACAACATCATATGTCACAAATTCTTTAGAAAATCAACAAACACAAAGGACAACGTTCGCAAGCTGTCCGATGAACATGTAATGCAGAACACCAAAATAAAAAACAATATTTTACTTGAAATTTTCATAACATAATTGTATTTTAATTTCAATTAAGACAAATCTGATATACACAAAACAAAATATGTTTTTATGCTAAAAATTAACGTATTTAACGTGCTTCTGTTTTTATATTTTAATGATTAATGATACTTAAAAGTGATCTTCATCCCATTGCCTGACACTTTTGGATATGTCTTCTATAAAGTTTAAAAAGTGGCAACGATATTTTTTATTAATGAATGACGTTTTTGTGTGTAATACGATGTTCAAAATACACAACATCATCAAAGATCAAATACCTAATTCAAACATTTATCACTGAACTGCCATGTTTTCAAATTGGCTGGGTGATTTGTGTTTCCAAATAATCAATCGGTAATTTTGATATGCATCTACAATATAAGAGAACAATGAGTACATACTCAAGGGGAAACTAATTGGGCTCGACACACATTAATGACTTATACTTGCAATAAATGGAATGTAGCTCAGGGAAAGACATTTGCCTTGTAATATGCTACCAACGGATTCTTCAAAGTAATTTTGCAAGGATTCTTTTACCAGGTCATCGGATTTAACATCCAAATTCCAAAAAAGAAGCAACCGAACACTTATACATCGAACATAAGAGACGTATTCTCAGTACGGGTCTTATAGACGTTTTTAACCTTTTTGGGTATTAAGCTGAATTATCTCGGAATGACCCTATATATGCCTCTGAATAATCTTCTGACGTCATTCAACAATCATTTTTTTTTAATTATGACGTAAAATGTTTTAATTTGTGATGCACTATTTTGCGGGAATTTTTGTGTTAAAACTATGGCAGACAAATTTGCATGCATAATGCATATGTTAATAAGTCCCTTACTGAACGTGATAAGTTCAGGTGCTCATATTCTGTTACCTCCGTCGAACCAATTTATTGACACACGGTGCGATTAAATCCAACAAAAGCTACTTAAGATATTCCAATAACACCACCTTTCCAAAAGTCCCTTAAAAACCTAATAATAAAAACAAAGTAAACAATCGACGTGTTTTATCTGCTATGCATTTATTTTTATAAAAAACTTCAGCTGCCAAAAGTTTGCAAGCAAACCCATAAAACAATATCTTACCCAGGTGCTGTTGACTGATATATTATTATAGAAACCTTAATTTTACACAAAACGAAATACTGTTTAATATAATCTGACCTTTGCCGTGGCTGTTTAAGACTAAGACTAATTTACTAGTGGATTGATAATTTACCTTATTTTAAAACTTTTTTCATTATACATATATCATTTTTTTTCTTTCAGAGAAAGTGTTTAAAGCAAAATAGTAGGCTTGCAGACGGAACATCAATTAGTGAGATTAAATTTCTTCGAACAAATGCGGAAAAGTATGGAAAAAGTACGTGTCTGTCTCCAAAAAATTATCTTTTTTATTGGGGTAAAGCGGGTGTCTTCCATCATCTTGGATTGTTAAATAGCAGAACATAATCGGTATAGATCTTTCATGAAATGGGCAAATTTCGAGAGAAGAATGTTATTCATTTGTAAAATTTTTCAGCTAAATGAAAAGTATGTGTTTTATCATATTTTTACAACTGTTTCTTACAAATACAATATATTTTTGTTTGATTCAATTTTTTCCCCAACTTTGCCATATAAGGGAAGATAACTCACATAATGTTACTTTTGTAAAAGATTGTATTATGAATTTACCTGTCTTGTTTTGTAGCAAGAAAACGAATACAGTGACTCCAAATTTTTCTATTTATTTTCTAAAGGCAGATTTTAAGAGCTACCTTCTCATATTCTATCTTAAAAGTCTGTAGTTTAGTTTTCTTTTTTATCAAACAAAATTGGATTTTCCATGCATAATCTATACAAAATCTGACGGTTTTGCCCAACATGTAGCTTTAAAAGAAGCCCCATGACCCATACATTTTATTATATAATTCAAAGGTGAAAAGTCAGTAATTAAGAATAAGATTTGCAGTCGTTCATTAAGCTAGTCCAATGGGGTTTTATGGCTCTTTAGATTGAAAAATAAAAGGCCCCATCTATCTTTTATTTAATATTTCTTTTGGCTATTATTAAAAATTCTCTCTATATATATATTTGTCAGATTTCTGGCTTGATGGATCAGATGAGTCTGAAGAAGGTGTTTGGTTCTGGGCAACTAGTGGACAGAAGTTCACCGTTACTGATTGGCATAGACGTACTTGATATGAACCAAACAATGAGGATGATAACGAGCATTGTTTGAATATTCATAGAGATCTTGACTACCAATGGAATGATGCTGGATGTTCCAACCGTTTTAGGTACATATGTGAAAAGCCGTAAGTATATGTAAAGTTCTTAGCTTAGATATTGGGAAATTAAATATGGTCATTTGAAGTTTTATGGTTTGACTATGAAAGCGAGTAAATACTCAAGGTTATATTTTTTTAATAGTATATGAATTGGGAAAACTTGTACAAGTCATGTTGTTATTTCACAAACGTTTTCGATCAAATCTTGTCTCGTCAACTTTACGTGCAACTTTCCATATAATGTATTCCTTTTATGGTAATGAATGGGTAGCTTGTTTATCCGTTTTCTTAGAACTTTATAGAAACATGTGTTTTGTTCGCTAGACATGCTAGACATTGTATTGTATCCATTTTTTACTGTGAGCGATTATCTGTTCGATTTTCTTGTTATAGATCGCGATCGCTGGGTTTTATAAGATTTTAGTCCAAAAATAGTAATTACTTGTATTTATTTCTTTACCTTCCTTATCAGTTTTTTTTTTATAAAATCCCAGCGTGTAAACAAATCACCTACTGTTGATTCATTATTATTCGTGGGATATCAATTTTCGTGGATTTCTTGGGTAAAGGTGAACCACGAATTTAAATGTTCAACGAAAAACAAATTTTCTATAGGCTTGTAAGCATATTTTGGGAAAACCAAAATTTAAAAGCACATACAATTTTTCCTCAATCCACGAAAATTGATGCCCACAAAAATAATGAATCCAGAGTATTCTGGTCTTCTGACTTTCGAATAATAAAGTTACTCGTATACACAAAGATGTTTTGGTATAATATGGTATATAACACTAATGTATAAATGTCTCTTTCAGATTGATGTGATCGTCGCAGCAAAGAATTCACAGACGACGATACTTTAACATATTTAAACACACTCTGAAATCAAATCATTCTGAACTTACCCTCTGTCTAAGCATGTCGTAACTCCCAAGTCAATGTTTTTTCGCAAAAAGTAACAAAAACAACAGAATAGGAAAAGTTAGAGTAAAAAGTAAAAATCCCCAAGATATTATCCTCCGTTGGTGTTCGCAGCAAAAATCAGACAAAGCGATAAGCTTTATTAAATCTGACATTTCTTTTTTCAATATTTAGCAGGGTCATCGATATATTAATAAGATTCATATAATGAAGAGTGAAATACTTAGCTTGAATTTCATTCTTAACTAGAGACTTGTTAATACTTCTATGCATTTACGATGATATATAAATGCATAAGACTTGTTCTTAATTATTAGACTATAAACACGAAACTGATTGATTTGTTAAATGATTCACGTCTATTTAGAAATGGTCGTGTATTTCTAGGATCATTCATTTCTGCTTTCGTGGTACATCAAATAAATCAACTAAATGTGCTGTGTTTAAAAAACATTTCACCGTTTACCCATTATCGCGTAACCTCTAAAATGTAAATGACATTATCAATATCTCTTAACGTCGTGTACTCTTAGATATATGATAGGGTAATGAATATTGTCAGTTATCCCTTCATAGCAAAAAGTAAAATCACAAAAATACCAAAGTCCAAGGAAAATTCAGAACGGAAAGTCCATAATCAAATGGCAAAATCAAAAGCGCAAACACATCAAACGAATGAATAACAACTGTCATATTCCTGACTTGGTACAGGCATTTTCTTATGTAGCAAAATTTCATTACTAAAATGTCAAAATTCTTAGCCTAGAGGGAATCAGTAGAATCTGTCTGCAACTATTAAACACTATTGAACTGTTACGAATACGAAAATATTTTAATAAATATAAAACAAAAAGACGCTAACATTATTTTTTCATCTTTAAAGTCTTCTCACTAAATAATTTCAAAGTACTATAACTATGTTGATCGCATCTACGTCTGCTAAATGTCTTGACTAACATCTGGAAATTGACATGAAGGACGCATGAGAATATAACTTTGTGACAAATTAAAAAAAGATGATTAGATTTTTCCAGTTCTCGGTAGCAAAAGAGAGGCAAAAGATACCAAAGGGACATTCAAACTCATAAGTCGAAAAAACAAATACTGACAATGACATGGCAAAAAACGAAATAAAAAGGGTCAAAAGACAAACAACAATATACAAAACACAACAAAGAAACCAAAGACTGAGCTACGCGAACCCCTGCAAAACCAGTGTAATATTCAAGCAGTCCCCGAATATGGAGAAAATGTCACTAGTTATTATGAAATTCCAGGTCTAGTATTTCCTATCAAAATTTCATTGATAGAGAGGTAGTGTTTGCAAAGAAGAAATTGGCTGAGATTTTAAAATGGTAAAGTTTAACTCATTCATTCGAAAGATTTACGGGCGCCATCATGATTTTGTTGAACATTATGGAATATCTTTGTCACAGATGGATACGGATAGATTCCACAATCCAGTTTGCTGAAGTGACACACCAACCAAACCTTTAAAATTCTTTGGGTAACATCACTGCTAATATTCAAAAAGTAGGAACTGCTTATCTTCCAGAACCACCCGCGTTATCTTCTAGTTTTGTTCCGAAAGAAAACTGCGTTGCGTTTGCTCTAGTTTTTAATTTATTGTGTTTATTATTTTATTTTGGATTCAATAAACCGTGTTTACATTCAATCTTCATCATCGCTTGAGCGTTTGAGAATTTAATAATACTGGTGTTTTTTTTTTTTAATTTCGTTATGTAGTGAGGCTACAAGTGAGACACTAGCAAATCGTCTTTTATATAATACATTATCGTATGAATGATAAAGGCATTTTATCTGGAGTAAAACGAAGGATGTTTTTTAGTGAATAGGAACTGCTGATTTGTTTTGGACAAACCTTGTGTTAGGCTTGATTATATTTCGCAATCTTGAGAAATCAGTGTAGTTATTTTGTACTATTTTTGTTCCTTGTTCTATTTACCTATTTCTTTTAGACATGTGTCGAATAAGTTGTTTTTGCGTAGTTTTGTTATAAAGCATGACCGTAAAATGTTACGCTCAGACTGCAGGATCATGTTCTTAAAAACATTAAAATAACACGTTATAAATTTCATGCGACCGAAGCGCTTTTCTGGATTTACCTTTATCAGGAACGATCAAAGACGAATATTTGAAAGCCAAGGATATATAAGATATGAAACAATTGAAGAGCTATATAACTTAAAGGACCTAAAAATAGCCAAGTCCATCTATGGTCAGCTTTGCCTGAGGGAGTTGAAACCTCAGTTTCTTTATAATTTCGAAATTTATAAAAGGTATACGAGTGATATGGTATCATAGATGAATTAACTGTGACAAAGAAGATATAAATAGTAACAGAAAAAGTATACATTACGCAGTGACATTGAATGACAGGGTCATATAAGCCACTGTAAATAGTCTAAGTTACAAGAAACACTCATTACTAATATACCACGAGAAGTACAGTTGCAATTGAAAGAGATGATATTTCTAAACCGCCTATATATTGCTATGAGTCACTGTCTCAAATGTCTTTGTTATCATCATCTTGTTTATATTGTTAACAGATGTGATTTAAATTTAATAGTTGCGGAAAAATTCCCATCAAATACTTTAACCCGTTCTCTTCAATACTTGGAGTATGTTATCTTGAAGCGTTGCAAAGGATGATTAAATATGTTCTTCAGCAGAAATAAGTAAATCAACTGTTTGATTTCTAATAAATTATATACTTTAAGCCACCATTTATTTTTAAGTGTTGATGTAATATCTAGTGTCACTTAATATATAAATGGAATTTTATAAATGTATAAATCAGCAAATACATTGTATAGTGTGTTTTTATTCAAAGACGTCAAATACATTCCATGCGTCTAGCCTTATCTCTGGTGACAGTTCTTTTGGTACCAGTTCTAGCACATTGAAATATATAAGACCCAAACAAATCTGCAGCTTTACATGTTTATATTTCTATCTAGTATTTACATGATTTTATTTGATACTGTGGATTCATTCATTTTCGTGGGCACTAATTTTCGTGGAGTAAGAGGAAAGTGTATTTTCGTGGATATTTAGTTTAGTTGGTTTACATAGGTCTGTTTCCAAGCCTATTGAAAATTTGTACTTAATTGAACATTTAAGTTCATGGCTCACCTGTACAGCAAAATCCACGACAATTGGTATCCCATGAATAATGTTGAATCCACAGTATTATTTTTGTCAATGGAACAGCACGTTAACACATGTATGTGATACGGTTCTTCCGTCTTTTTACTTTTAATAAATTAAGGCGACAGTAGTTTACCGATGTTAAAATCTTTTAACTCGATTAGGAAGAGGTAAATCAAGGTAACACACAAAAACACGGGAAATCACATGAACCCAAACAGGAACGAGATTGGGTGCGTCCACATGGTAAGCATCTCCTACTACGCATGCATGCCCGCCATGAGAATTCACACTCAGTCAAAATGTCACAATCGGGAAAGGGACTCAATCGGTACAAATTACAAATCAAACGACTATACTGGTATAAATGTGTTATTTGTACATCTTCAATCATAGATAAATAAAGATTTATATGTAGAGCCTCAATAATTTTTGAGTTATGGTCGTATGGTTTTCTACGTAGATTAAACCAGGCCAACGTGTTATTGATTTAAGGTTGCAATGTTTTGTTTATTTCACGAAGAACCATGTTAATACTAAACTCATCATAGATACCAGGATTAAAAATGTGTACGTCAGACGCGCGTTTCTTCTACATAAGACTCATCCGTGACGCTATAATAAAAAAGTTGAAAGAGAGAAGTAATTGATACCAATGATGACATAAACGACACACTTAAATGATACAAAATACCAACTTTACGAATAATCCCATCATGCTCCAATTTAGCAATAGCTGAGTGTATGGATGGGGTTTTCAAAATATAGAATAATGGGCAAAAAGTGCAGACTAAAGGGCAAAAATATTGTGTTAAAATATAAAGAATAGAGAATAACAGGCAACATTTATAATGAATAAAGAAAAATGGTTTACACAATTAAAGAATATAGAATTGAAGCCCCCCACCCCACCCCCCCCCCCCCCCATCCAAACCCTCATAACTGGACTGTTGTAAACATATTTAAGACGCAATTATAATTGAAATTTTGAACGGACAGTAACAATACAAACGCCAAAGGCTAGTTTATTATTGTATTGAAGTTAAATGACTCAAGTTGATATCAAGCGATAACTTATTCTCATTATTTATCAAAGCTATAATTCTCTACATATGTTTTTCTAAGATCTTTATGTTTTATTTATGACGCAATTATTTTGCACTTCTGTGATACGTCATGTACGTATTTGCCATATACTATTTAATATATGTCTATCCAGTAAATTGAAATAAAAAAAACAAAACAAAACCATATATTCTATGACAATTTACATCGAACAAAAAACTTTTTTTTAATTATAATTCGCCGTAAACATCGATGTTGTAATTTTATTTCTTTAATGTACACTTCAACATGTGTAACATGTGTAAAAACTTGTATGAAGTAACTTTCCATCTCTTTGTTTAAATATCAGTCGGATATTTCTACCGGATAAATATTGCAGATTTTATTTAGCAGGACGTTTACGTTCCTATGTTTCAACTTCCTTAATTATCCCTTTTAACAATCTTAACAATTGTGCAAAAATTGAGGAAATCCGTTCTAGAATATTAGACTCATTGTGTATTTGTTCATTACGTCTGTTTATCACGAGTTACATTGCACTGTGATTCGTTTTCTTATAAAAAAAACCTGCAGAGTGGTAGAACAAGACAAAACTTGACAAGAAAATCATTTAAAAAATCACGAATAATTTAGATAGCAGGGTTAAAATATTTTCGCAACTACAGAGATCTTTATACGGTGAGCACTACTGTTGACATGTCAAACAATGTATTTAACCTTGCAACGATAGTTATTGATTAATTAAAATGAAGGAATCGGTCAAGGTTTTATAATACATTTTCCCAGAACTTCTATTCTTGTTATTGAACAAAAAACCAGCGACACGGATATTTAATTAATCTTACTATAACAATAAGAAGATGTGGTATGATTGCCAATAGACAACTCTCCACAAAAGACCAAATAACTAGCATGAATGGTTCATACTGGGCTCGTGTGCAATAAAAAATGGTTAGCAATGATAAGGACTGTTTGTCAGATTTTAACATGAGTAATGAGACGAATGTTCATAGTAGAGTACGAGCCATTGACCCTTCCTTAGCAGTGTTGTCACCTACATGATTTGGTTGAGTTCCTATTGCTCTTTAACTTTCTTTGTTTGTCCCATTTTTTTTTTATTTTTCTGTCTTTACACAAATTATAAAAACATATTGTTGTTTGTTTTTTTTTATGGCTGAATTGCTATTTTCTTTGTTTATTCGTCGTTGATTTTATTTTCTTTTTCCTTCTTTGTACGTTTGTCACATATCACAGAACATGCTATATTTACAAACAAGTTATTTAAGTCATTCTCGGTCAAGTGAATCTCATTCAGTAATATAACGTTGAATCCTGGTAATCAAGGATTCAGTTGAGTGAATATGTTGCCAATTAAATTTTTAAAATAGCAATTTTACATCGTTATGCATGTAGAAATACATTGTTGATTAAACATTTTCTGATAAGAACTAACAGTTTTCGATTATAACACGAGGGTATATTTCTTGTCTGATCAATTAAGGCGACAGTAGTTTAATGCTATTTTTATCTTGTTAATTGATTATGTAGAGACGAATTAAGATATCAAACAAACACAAAGAGAGTCGCAAGAAATCCAAAAAGAGCAAG